CTCCAAATTTATGACTCTCAAGTTTATGATGATGATGGGGTCTGGAAATTAAAACATTCCTCTTTGATGCTCTTTAGATGAGCTCTATTCTTCATTTACCCTCCCTGGAATATTTTCTTGGCTACTTCATGACATGTTAACGATGTCTCGGGTTGCGGTTCCCATCAGATTGTGTCATTTTTGCCCCAAAAGTGTATAAATTTGTTTAAATCTTCTTTCACATACCATACAAAATCCTCTAGAGTGGTGAGTTGTTATAGGGTTTTGAGTGATCACACATGGTTGTGTTTGTTTGGATATTGGTGGTGGTTAAATCCTTGATGGGTTTGATGAAAGCCAACTCTAATTCTAAAGAAACATACTAAAATGGTTTTTAAATTGCTTTCTTTAAGAATTCTTCATATTTCAAGCATTTATAAAAGCTACTTGTTGAGTCAGTCAGCATTTTCACACATGTGTAATTTTTTTTAAAAAGCTGATTACCGGTAGTTTAAAGGGCTTTAAACTAATCAGGTTTACATACTACATCATTCACACATAGAAATTTTGGTGCGATCGTTCGTGATTAACTGCTCTTAAAATGCGCGATAGTGCCATTGCGCATGGAAGGTCAGGTTATATCAAATAAAGCGCGCGCTGCATCCAGTTTAAACACGTATAACCGTTCACACACAAAATGTCAAGCTCTCTAGATACGGACTTCGTATCTGCAACATGCTTTGAGGGGCGTATGAATCACACTGGGAAAATTCTCTTTAAAGCTGTTTAAAACTGTTGAGTTAAACAGCTTTAAGCTAATCAGCTCTAGATACAATGAATTTAACCTGTGTGTGAAAAGGCTGAGTGAGTACTAGAAGATCATTACAGACTCTAGTCATGGCCCCTCTTCAGCAGACAAAGTATTATTTAGTGATGTCAAATTGTAACATTATATTTTAAAACTTGATTTTCAATGTTGGCTTTTAGGGTTGGTGATATAGTAATTGGGATGTAGAATATAATTTTCATGTGATCATCTGACAAATCCCCAGACAGTCAGTCCAAGTACAAGATATGAATTTTACAAAAGTTGTATAAACAGGATTGTCATTACCAAGTCTGTCTTTGGCACATTTGTTTCAACATATCTCTGGTTTGTATTAGCATTTTAGCAACATGGATAGATTTACAGAACCATGTACAATGTAGAATTGCTTTTTGACAAACATAAAAGCTCAATTCTTTCCAGAAGATTTGATTTCCTTCTGAATGTATGATTATTCCATATAGTTGAAAGCATTGTAAGGCAATCCTGACAACAAAACCACAGCTATGCATCTCAATAATTCATCGAAGAATGGAGAAAATTCTGAGATGACTGTATTTGAATTGGTTAGGAACATTCCTCAAATTTCATTTCATATTTTAACAAGTGGAATTCCAGTCGTGATATGTAAACTAATCTGTAGGCAAACAGTACTGTGAAAGCATGTAGAAATAATAGAATCAGGAGCGAGAACTAAATGTGTCTTTGTAGGAGGGAAGTAAAGGCATGTAAGAGAAACGTTGGAAGTGAAGGGTGGCTGAAATGGAAAGGAGATTGGGGAGAGAAAAGAGGTAAGAGCAGGAGGAGAATTAAAAGAAGAAGAGGGAGAAGAAAAAGAAAAGGAGGAAGAGGAGAGGAGGAAGAAGGAGAATGAAATAAGAAGGAAGAAGAAGATGAGGGAGGAAGGGAGGGAGGAGGAGGAGGAGGAGGAGAAGAAGGAGGAGGAGAAGAAGAAGAAGAACAACAACAACAACAAGAACAAGAACAAGAAGGAGGGAGGGAGGGAGGGAGGGAGAAGAGGAAGAGGAAGAAGAAGAGGAAGAAGAAAACAAAGGAGGAGGAGAGAAAAGAAATTAGAAAGTGGAGTATGCACAATAATTCTTGCAGCCATATTTTCAACCTGAATACAAGAAAGCTATTCCTCCTCCCTGGAGAAACCCCATTGTTTCAACCCCCTAATGATACAATGTTTTGAATAACTTTTAAATGGATTCCACGATAAACTGTAGGTTGCCAATCGTTTAACATGTCTTATAAATTGTTGTTTATCTCATAGTTGTTCATCTCTCTTTATTTTCTCCCAAAACCATTGATAGATCCTTATCAGCCTTGTCAGTAACCTGTCCCTCAACCTATGCCTGGGTTGTTTCATTGTGATGGCATCAATCAGTCAATCACATTGTTCAGTGCCAGAAGGGCGTCTCTTACTCATATACTTTAAAGGGATTGTTTAACAATGTTAAATCTGAGATACACGGCCCTACGTGCTATCGGTGTCTGTGATATGGTGTAATATTGAAGCCCTAAAAAAATTGCGCTTCAAAATGATCAAGAAATGCCTCAAAAAAGTAAAAATTCTTAGAGTGACCGGTTTTACCATACTCGTTTTCCCCAATAGACTGTAGTGTTATGAAAACCGTCAGGCGATTGGTTTTCAAAATGTGTAATTCCAATCATAAATATTTTGATAATCAGACAGGCGATCGGCTTGTAAAAGTCATGGGATTCCTGACTGACCTAAAGGTTTATAATTATTGCATCATGAGCTAAATCCAGAATTTTGTTTCAGAATCTGAGACAAAGTTACTGGATCCCTTTACCACAGAGTTAACAACCTTCTGGCTCCATAGAGAAGAACCCACATTGTTTGGTTCATCCCTCTGTTATCCCCTTTAAACCCATCCCCAATTACCCTTATAATCACACCCATTATACCAGCCAAACTTATCGCAAAGTCTTCTAAGCAATCAAAGAATAACTTGTAAATGTCATGTGGGACTATTGTAACATCAATGATGCAAGAAGCCAATATAGTGTCTTAGCCTGCGTGAAATCACACTGTGTTTTGTATTGCAAACAACTGAGCTCCAAATCACACCGACTTGTAAATATGTGAGATCGTTAATGCTTAATTTGCATTGAAGCTGATAAAACGCTGCTTAATTTGACTTAATATATTGGCTTCATTTAATAATCACATGCCTTGATTATTTTATTTGGTTTCTTATTCTTCAGACTTGAATCCAGATACTTTTTTTCCTGGGTATCAACAAAATGTTTTTCAGCAGTCTAGACTCGTTTGTAATCACTTGGGGATTGGAGGAATGCAAGACGTTCTGCAGAATAACAAGCTCATTTTTTATTAAAGGTATAGTTGAGTATTGGTAATTTCCAAAGTGCCCCTCCAAAACAAATTTGGTTTATTTCAGTACCATATGAAAGATCATCGAAAAAAACATGGGAGATGATAATAATTCCAAATCAAATGCTCTAATTGTTGTGCAATTTGCTTTCAAAACATTATATAAAAGTGTTTGACGTCCGGACATCACTTTTGACTTTCGACGGTTTATTTTTTGAATTTACGTGTTTAGCTCCCTCTATGTCATTTAACAACCAGCGTATTTACAACGAGTGTTTCAGTTCGTTGGTACGTACAGTACTACAGGTAGCTAGCAGGCGGGTATCCGACCGCGCGCTAGTAATACAGTACAGCTGATCAATTCCAATACGCGTAAAGTATAACACACACAGCTCATATCAGATTATCACCGGCGCCGGTCGAACGCTAGACAGCTACAGACAAGCTTTGATTGAAATACGATAACGAGATCGAGATTGGAAAAGGAGCTCGAGGTCACGGACGATGGCCGACTCGGACTCAGCTAGTGCTAAGCCTAAGGACAAGGCTAAGGCTACGCTAAATCGGAATAAGACTAAGTAAGACGGTAAGAGGAAGGAGAGAAACAAGCAATGGCAGCTCGACCATCCGGCCCAGAGGAGGCGCGGGATCGGAGTGGCTGTGAACAAGGCCAGGGTACGGCGGAGAAACTTCACGAGCTGCAGGCGGCCTTCTCGTTGCCGAGTCTAGAGGATGCAATAGACATGCCAGCTCACTGAGAGGTAAGTTGAAATGATATACGCCCCACTGCATTGGGTAGGCCTACCGTTTTAATTTGATCTAGTCTAGAGACTAGATGCATGGAATCGGCAAATTTAAGAAATTACGTTTTGTTATCTCTTGCCTTGGATTTTTAATTCAGATTTCATGAATCATATGATATTGATAGTCTAGCCTAGGTCTACAGTAGACCGAAAGCTTCAGTCTCTATATCGTCGGTTGTTCCACTGAGACTACGTCTGGCTCCACTAGACCTCCGGATGAATTTGGTTCAAATGAAAATATTGGAAGCATATGCGATCCTACAATATTCAGTGAACGTTGTCGCGTTGAAATCGAGTCTAAAGTGATGAAATTGTAAATAATAATCTCTTTATGGGGTATACTATAACTCTCTCTCAAGGTCAATATATTAATTCAGCTATACAACAAGCTACAATTGACCGATTGGCTATTACCTTTTTGAAATTATATATCACAACTACATATTCCGGGATTTTTATGGTAGCAGCTACCGTTGTACGACCGTAGGCGCTATTTTAAATTTATCAAAATTTACCGGGAGCACCGGTAAATTTTTATATTCAATTTTTTTCGAAAGCAGAAGTGTTTTAGGAGCTAAATTTTCTAGTGCTTATAATACTTCCACAGGGGCATCCAAATATATCAAAATTGTAAAGAATCACTATCCACCCAATTTTCAAAATTTCCCAAAACTTTGTAATAGACCCTACCTTTAATGTCCCTCGTTACAACTGCAGTTTTCTTTGTAATGATGACGTGCAGGGCTAGTCAACCGGGTAAACATCCTGCTCTTTTTAAAAGTCGACAAGGTTATACTATAGCTTGCTTGAGATGTGACTGTCTCATCTATATTTATCTCTACCAAAGAGTGTCTCAACTTCACATACATGACAGAGAACCAATGCATCAGTTATTAGTCATGCAAATTCCAAATCTGGCTAGCTGTGATAATTATTAGAGAATGCCATCTTCAAAATAATTTCTTTTGGTGATTTAAAATCTGAATGTTTTTTACTTTGTGAATGACTTTCGTTTCTTCACTTTTTACAGATATGAAGAACAGACAACACAATCCATCCCCAGCGAAGAAATTCCAAGCAGCAGTAGGGGAATTAGCAGGTGAATAGTACAAGTCACCTTTGACCGCAAATTCATGGAGAACTTGGCCTACTCTGCTGATTTGCTCGCTTCAGGTAGGATTCTGTATACATGTACGAAAGGCTCTGTAAATTGAGAGGAATTTAATGAGAATGCGTTCATTACGTACATGTTTGCAAGATTGAGCTCTTTTTCGGTTATGACCTATAAAATTGGGACATATCAGCAGGTCAAGATAATTGCTCATGTGTATGACATGGGATTTTCAATATTGATTTTGTGGTATGAAAATAATGAAATGCCCTATCATTTATATCAGTTTTTATTTTGTTTTCATAATTCCTTAGGCACACCAGCATGCTCGAGTGTTTCCACAACCATATACTGATGTATGCTTCCAAGCGGTATTCCTTTGAGTAAGTATTTTTAGTATCATTTTGTATGTTTGAAGTAAGATTGTGGAAAAGTTGAAACATATCATTACAGTACGGTTACAGTTACAATATCATATTTTGAAGCAAATAGCAAAGTTAATGAGAAATTATGAATGACATCTATATAAATGCTGAAATCACTTTTGGATGCATGCAGAGTCTTGAAACAGCAGACTTTGTATCGTACTTGTGTCGGTACCTGATGTTAAGTCAAGTTGGAGTGGTTGTAGCAGGGAAATGTAACTACCTTTAATTAAGTGTCAATAATTTACAACACAAATCCAGAACTGAAGTGAATGGCTCGTATTCACAAAGGAGGTTTGTACAAACCATGGTTTGGCCAAGGTTTACATCTATGGAATGCCATTTGTAAACTGATGGAGTCCGAGAAGGAATGTAAACTCCATACTTGTTAACAATGTTAATTTACAATTTACGGTATGCGAGCAGCATTCCATAGATGTAAACCATCGTCAAACCATGGTTTGTACAAACCTCCTACAAACCTCCTTTGTGACTACGGGCCAATGAGTCTGAGATTTGTCTAAAGCATTTACTATTCATTCATCATGGTAGTGGTAATACCAATTGTTTGTCTTATCCATCCAGCTACCCAGCAAACCGGGCAAGGAATTTGCTTGCGGTCATCGACTACATGGCACACAAGGACAGGCCCGACCAGATTGATGAACAAGGCAATACAAAGTGAGTGGAAATTAGAAAGAAAGAAAAAAAGGTTTTCTTTTCTTTCTTGTTTTTCCTATTTTTATTTGTACATTTTTTTTTAGATGGACAAGGCAATCCAAAGTGGGTGGAGTAAAAAAAACAAACATGATTTTTTGTTTTCCCTGTGTAGTTGGACAGGGCAATCCGAATTGGCAGTTCTTTCCCATGAAATTTATCAATTTTGGGGAAATTATTAAATATCTAATTGTCCTTCCTGGGAACGCCCCTTTTAAATCGCCAAAATATGACGTCATCTAAAGAAGTTGTCCCTGTACACGACGCACATCTAAATTATGTAGATGACGGACTGTAAGCTGATGGTTTGTCAATCATGCTGCTGATTTTGGACCCTAAATGCGGACTTGGATTCAGTGTAATAATATACTTGGTGTGTAATGCAAGGTTCTGGAGTCATCAAAATCATCATAAATTTGGCAGAGTTTGGGTAAAGTAACAATCACTTACACAGAAAGATGTATATGGGACAACACACATGGTGTCGGCCTGTCGGGGCTCGTACTACCCTGATTTCCTTATCTTTCTATGCTCATTACTCAGCCAGTATACATTTTCTTCCAAAATTGTTTGGCACATGACATTTATTTGTAATCTTGAACATTCAGTGTAAGTTTCGTTAGATTCTGTGAGAATTCATTTTCTTTTTTTTACCAGAACTCAAGTTTATCTTTAAGAGATATGAATCATTTCCAATTGACAAGAATGAGTGTGCATATAATGCAACTTGTTACATTTTGCATGTTCTTTTATTTTATGATACAGATATGTTGCAGTATGGTCAAAGCGTGCCAACAACTATGTGGCCCGGAAGGAGAAGGTCCCCAAGACCTACCCCTACATGTATGTACAAGGACTCATCGGTGCGATACTGGAACGCAGAGAACAGGACCAAGGACCACTGTTCTCGAAGGCTGTTCTGCTCCCTGATGACCCTAGACACACAAGGCCCCGGCTTGCACCATTTCCTCCACCACAAGTTGATGTGATCCTAGCCAGGAGACTAGGCCGATTAGAGAAATCCATGTAATCCTCTGTAGTGAACATTTGGGATTGTCTGACTTGAGAACTGCTTTTTTTCGAGCAGAGACTAAGGGATCCAAATGGCGTCCTTCCGTCCATCCTCCGTGACTGTACACAAATTTGAATGAAGTCTAATGTGAAATCTTACCTGCAAAAATCAATTAGGGTTGCTAACTTTCCAACCCTGCATCTGTTTGTAACCATACTTGATTGGTAGATGCCCTTTATTGGCCTCCATGATATTCTGGAGTTGAAGGTCACATAAGTAGGTCAAAGGTCAAATGAGGTTCATTGTTGCATGATTGCATGCAAGACTCTTAATCGCCTCGATTTAATTTGTCCATGTGGCATGTTTTTAGGCTATCTTGAGGATTGGTTGGAACTTAACATTTTGGACTCATTTGGTTGCTAATGATTTTGTGGTCCGGAGGTGAAAGATTGCATGGCTTAGCATTACGAGCATGTATTCTTGATATGTCAGAGACCCTTTGACAAAATACCACCAAACTTGATACTAGAGTGTCCCTGGGGATCATGGGGATGTGGTTATCTGGAGAAAAAAAATCACATAACACATGATATACATGTACCAGAAATAAATTGTTATTGTTGCTAGATTAGCCACCATGCTTGGCACTTGTATATTGTATTACAATAAGAGGTTGGCAAGTTTACAAATGGAAGAAATGTAGGAATATAAAAGACAAATTGTGACATCAGTGTATAAAAGCTCTATGTGATTTATACAATTCATAATTTGTGATAAAATCAGTGCTTGCTCATGTGGAAATGGTGGATATTTCAATTTGTATCTATTTGGCAACCTATATTCCTTGAAGAAGTTACGGTAGTAATTATAAAATTTACAGCCAAGAGGTCAAACCATGAGTCAACAATGTGTTTGGTTTTAGTGACTGTGCATGTAACTGAGGTGACAGTCGATCATGAAAAAGACTATACTTCGGAACCTGTTGAAAATCAACATGGACAGAAGAAAGATTTGTAGAATATCTTATTGTAAATAGTCTTCATTTTTTGTTTAATGCAATCAATGTGACTAAAATAATGCAAGCGAAAAAGAGAAATGATCACAAGACAGCAAAACAGTTGGTTTCATGCATCATTTGAATCAATGAACGTGAATCAGCTCAACGCCAAAGTATTGCGGTTCAAGGTTATACCATCAAGAGATATGCTGCCTGTAACTACTTTGTAGTTTGAAAGGGTGTATAAAGGAATAAGGATACAGTTGGGCAGGCGAGTCTTTCTGTTGGTCTATTGTAAAAAACTGGGTCAAATTTTTTCCAATTTTTTTGCAAATTGTAATAAAACTTGGTATACCGATTGACCCGAGGGTGTGCAAGACACATTTGTTGTGTCTGTCTGTTAAGGTACCTCCATGGTAACCAAGCTTTGCACAAAGAATACAATTTTGTTTTAATAATCTTGTGGAGCATATTCTTTCCAAGTTTTAGCAATTTTATAGTTTTGGTATCTTTGATGAGGCATTATAATAACAGTATAAAACTCAATGCATGTGCAGTGTGTAAAATAAGTATGTGAGCAAACTATTGGAAGTAGTTTGATCGATTCATATGAAACTCAGTACACACAACGCAGAATTGTCTTTTGTGTGCGTATAGGACATGACCAGTTTTGAAATGTCTGTGCTATTTTTTTGAAAAACCTTATGTTGGATGTTAATCACTTGAGGTGATATTCATAGTCGAGCATTAGGGAAGATGAAAGACATATATGTACCTAACTATACTTAATTTTGTGCTGAAACTGATATGATTCAGGATTTGAGATCGATATGGAGTATGTATACATGTATACTCGTACACATTAAGGAAAAGAATCACTCAGACAATTTTTAAAGCATTTATATATAAAGTAAGATGTGAAACTTAAAAGATAAAACCAGTTATGGTCATGCGACTGCATTGTGAAAGGATTGTTGTGGAATCGATCAGAAAAGGTTGATCATCTAGCATATAAGTCTTGGTGTGTACTGCAAGGTTCTAAAATCATCGAAATGATAAAAAATTGGCCCAGTCTTGGTAAAGTTACAAGCACTGTACACAGAAAGATGTATATGGGACTACACACAAGTGCGCGACACATGCGTTATATCTATCAAGTCCAAATAGATATAATAATTTACCAAATATATCAATTAGTAGGCAGTTTCTCGGCAAAATTTGTATGATCACGTACTAGTCAAAACATTGTGTGCGGGCAAGCACTGAATCAAATGACCGGGGTAATAGTATATTTGTCAAGCGCGTAGAAACATTACTGTTATAGATACTTTTCTTTGGTAAACTTATCTACACATTGCCTATAGAGTATGTCAAGTTTTTATGAAAGACACAAGATAAGATGTATATAAATAAGCAGTAACTAATAAGTAACAAGACATGGTGGTATACAAATAAAGTATATTGCTCCTTCTTAATGACGACGGTTAAAGTTGTCATAGCGATAGATGCTAAATAAAAATGTGCCTTTTTTGATACACATGATCTGTTTGTATGCAATGGTTGAAATCAACATCACGTTTAAATATTGCCTTCAGTACAGCAATTATAATTTGTATTCATCTCAATAATGTTGTGTAAATTTAACTGTTAGTTATGGCCGAATAAAGCTTTCAATGTACACCATAAAAATATGTTATGTATCTTCATTTTAGCATTACTATAATTACATTAAAATCTTATGTCTTTACACATTTACAAGTTATCACGTACTGACGTAGGTCATGCAATACACAGGCACTGTAGAACACAACTTATTTACAAGAAGTGACAATCACTTTTTTTTTT